GGAAGGTATTAGGCATCCTACAACACCCTAATTAGGTACCTTATGACAATTTTAGCATAATGAGGAACAATAATTTAAATGTTTACCCCTTTTATTTATTAATTACATGTTTAATGTCTACATGATGGAGATAATATTATGAACAGATCAATTAAATAAATACAAGGAAAGAAATAGAGAGACTTTGAAAAATACCTCCGAAGCAAGCTTTATAAAAGAAAGAAGTCTCAAATCTTGTTACAAAGGTGCGTTTTGGTAGCCTTTTGCTCTACAAGAACCTCACAAATACTCAAGAAAGACTAAAAAGAGAGAAAAGAGAGTTTCTGCTTGGACTAGGTCAATTGAGCAGTGTGTGGAAGTACGTGCCTCGTACTCGTTTATATAGAGTGTTAGAGACTTGGAATGGTTGTTCCCAAGCTTGGAACAACCGTTACCAAGCTTGGAACGACTGTTCTGGCCCATGGATTTACACATGGAATGGGCCTTTAGAATGACATGTTCCCAACTAGGGTTATAGGCCATTTTCCAGTTGGGAACAATCGTTTTGGGTTTAGGAATGACCGTTTTGAGCCTAAAATTAGGATTTCGAGGTTCTTGGGCCTTCTCGTGTTGTCCTGGTCTATTTAGGTGCTCTATTGGGCCCTCGAGGGCCACTCGTATCGTTCTAGCAATCCTTTGTCCTTAATCTTGACAGCTCGGACAAAATTTGGTGTCTACAACTGCCCCTCTTTACTTGTCATTTGGATAACTAGATATTACTTTTCCAAAAACAAGTAAAGGAGTAGACATTTTATTCGAATCTTCTCTTCACTTCTTCGTGTAGGGGCCTCCACATCGCTTCCTTTGGCTAGATGGGTTTGTCTGTATCCTTGATCCTTGGAGTGGCAGAATGTTAGGGTCGCTTCCTCCAAAGATGGGCGAGCATGCAAAGAGTGCCTTCTGTGAAGTTAGACATGAAACACATAGAAGGGGGGTTGAATATGTATGTGAGTATGAAGAAATTTTAAAACCATTTTCACAAGAGTAATGTTCTTCGTCCAATGCACTTTTAAATACCAGACAGTTATGCAAAATTCCCTTAACACAAGATCACTGCGTTTGAACGATTTATCGACTGTTGAAGGAAAATGTTTTATATAACAATAATGATTAAGGTTCTTGCATTTTCCTTTTCAAGATAGTTTTATTCAAAGATAGGCAGTAGATAAAACTTTTTAGTGAATCAAATATATATTAAGCAAAGTTTGCGTCTGCGTCTAAAAATTTATCACTAAGAGATTCTGGGTGGATGAAGTTTTTCACAAAGGTTTAATCAGCAATGAAGATATGTGTCTAAAGCTTAATAAAATAGTGCAAGTATTTTTATACTGGTTCGCTCAAACTGAGCTACGTCCAGTCTCCTTCAAATGAAGGGTTCCACTAAAATATGCAATCAAGTACAAAAGTATTGTTGACCACTTCTGGCCAGTTGACTTCACTCATCAACGCTAGTATCTTCTTATCAGCCTCTTCAGGCTAGCATTAAATATTATGGACCACCCAGGTCAGAAACACTCCTGGTCCAAGTATTCTCGACCTCTCCAGGCCTTGAGTATTCTAGACCTTCCCGGTCATGGCCACTCCTGGTCATGAGTATTCTCAACCACTCTTGGTTGGCTAGCTTCACTCACCAACTCTAGTATTCTTAAACCACTTCTGGTTCCCCAAGTATTCTTGATCATTCTTGGCCCACCAGTTTCACTCACCAGCGCTAGTATTCTCTTATCAGCCACTTCTGGCTAGCAGTGAGTATTCTCGACCACCTCCTGGCCTGTCGGCTTCACTCATCGATGCTAGTATATTCTTATCAGCCACTTTTGGCTAGTAATGAGTATTCTTTGACTAGCCTCTC